AGACTGGATATCAGTAATGGTGCTTAACCTACAACTAGAATGATTGCTGAGGAATTCCAACTTACCCTGGAAATGGCTGAGGTTGACATGACCATGGAACCCACAAGTCCCAGAACTCTTTGGGTGCTCTGTTTTCTCTCCCGACCTTCCTAAAATATTTGGCTTTTGCACAATGACATGTTCTTAGAGACTTGTTGATTCTCAGAATTTTAAGACTTCATTAATCCCCTAAATTAGATCTGAGTTGTAGACTGGCCCCATGAAATAAGGGTTTTCTTGATTATATTCTAGCTAAGAGATGTTTGAAGGTTGACTTGCAAATATAGGTGTCCCTGACTTAAGAAAAAAATATGTAATTTTAAAAAAGTTTCCTAAACTTCCTTTTGACTTGTGGAGTGGTATACTGTGATAATTTTACCAATAGGGACTGAAAAATATGGAAGAATTTTCTCACAGTGTCTCATGCTATCTTTTCAGTTATGCACCTGCAGAATATAGCTAACATTTTGTAATTTGCTTTGCTTTGCTTTGTTTTAAGTAAAACTTTCCCAATTAATGTAAAATCTTTGGAGAACTGCAGGGAAGTCTCATTTTATACATCCCTGGCTCCTAGATGCCTCTCTATCATATAAACATTCACAGTTTCATTTTCTTCTCAACATTTGTTCACTGCATGGCCTTCCACTTAATGACAAACTTTTACTTTGTCATCACTTCTCTAAATTACTGAGGATATCTTTAATTCTAATCCTCTTAGGTTTTTGATTCTAGAAGGGGAATCAGAGGCAGGACTAGAATCTGGGCCTCGTGATCCCAAGTTCTTAACACTGGTTGCATTGAAGAGGACATAAGACAAAGCATCACTTTCATTTCCCTAAGCTGTGTATATAGGCTGTGTTTCTTGGAAATGATGAGAGGCAATTAATTTTAACTTTCTTTTCCATAGAGCCAACATTCAGTTTTGCAATGAGGGTCTCCAGACTACTTACTGTGTTCAACAATGTTTTCCTTTTTCTGGTGTCGCAATTCCTCTCAAGGAAAGGGAACCTTAAAAAAGAGAGAGAGAGAGAGCCCTAGCTGGTTTGGCTCAGTGGGTAGAGCGTAGGCCGATGGACTGAAGGATCCCTGGAGTGATTCTGGTCAAGGGCACATGCTTGGGTTGCAGGCTCGAACCCCAGTAGGGGGGTTGCAGGAGGCAGCTGATCAATGATCCTCTCATCATTGATTTTTCTATCTCTCTCTCTCTCCCTCTCCCTTCCTCTCTTAAATCAATAAAAATATCTTTGAGAGAGAAAGAGAGAGAGAGAGGAAATTGCCCTCTTCATTTGTACCCCTGGCCTTTCTGCCTCTGCTATTGATTATAGGGTCTTTCCTGTCCATCGTTGTTAAAAACTGACTCTTAGATGAATAAGCTGGAAATAGGATGGTCTCCATTAAATCTGCATTTTTTTTTTACTTTATAAATAAAAATCAGACTCTTTTCTTGCATTGTAGTTTATTTTCCCCAGTTTGCAAGAAATGAAAGCCTGGCTTAGTTTTCTCCTTGTGCCAATTCTTCCCTCACGTTAGTCATTCCTCTGACGTGTTTAAAAGGCAACTGCAACCTGCAGAGAAGAGCCTGAAGCATCAGGGGGAGAAAACTTGTAACAGCTGCCTGGTGCCTGGCCAAGGGGCAAAGTTCCCTCACTGGGTAAAAACCATTTTTCTCCTCTTATCCATTGCTTCCCACTGCACAACTAAAGGCCCTCTGCTAACACCCAGCTCTGCCAAGCATAACATGATCACACCTAGCCAGCGGTGGCCGCCAGCCATGGGAGGTAGGCCCTGAACCATGGCCTGTGGCTGCTGGGTTTACCCTTTCATCTCACGGTTTGTCTAGGCAGGTCTCTTTTTCTCTTCTACTCTTTTGCCGGTGTTATTTCCAGCAAGATAATGACATTCTAAACTTCGGTAAATGGCTCTTTTCGTTTTACACAGATAAGCTCCCTGATTTATTTCGCACAGTCATAGGAGCTAAATTAGCGGAAGTCAGGCCAATTCGAAAGCTGGGGGCAGAAATAAATGGACCGCTACAGTATACTCAGATGGACCATGTTAATGCGTAAAATTTAAAAGTGTATATACACACGGAGAAAAATCCACTTGATTTTTAATACCTGGAATATAAAGCTGCAATAGGAAAACTTTATAGCAGTGGTTCTCAACCTTCCTAATGCCATGACCCTTTAATACAGTTCCTCATGTTGTGGTGACCCCCAACCATAAAATTATTTTCGTGGCTACTTCATAACTGTAATGTTGCTACTGTTATGAGTCTTATGTAAATATCTGATATGCAGGATGTATTTTCATTGTTACAAATTGAACATAATCAAAGCATAGTGATTAATCACAAAACGATATGTAATTATATATGTGTTTTCCGATGGTCTTAGGCAACCCCTGTGCAAGAGTCGTTCGACCCCCAAAGGGGTCGCGACCCACGCGGGTTGAGAATCACTGCTTTATAGGGTTTTCTAAAGGAAAATAGTTGAATATGCTCATTTTCTTTAGATGGACCATTTTCCTACACTTTCTCTTTTTTCTGTATGGAGTTTCTCTTTCCTATTTCACTCTTACCTGCATCATTTGGTTGTCATCTCAAGCTATTTTTAGATCTGTGTGCTACACAGCTATATGATATCAAAGGAGAAATTCCTCTGGTTTTTAATGTACTATAATAACAGTCTTTGGTTCAAATGGTACTATCTTAAACCTCAGGGAGCAGCTCTACCAAATCACTTTCATTTGTAAAAGCACCGGGGAGACGTGGACTTGAGAGATCACACATAGCAACCTGGATGAAAACAATCTTATGCAAACACTGGCAGCATGCCATGAGGAAAAGCTGCCATAAAAAAACCAAAAAACATGCATTTTCAAAGATCATTTTATAGTGGTCAATAGAAACCAGGTTTCCCTTCTTTTCTTCTTTTTTTCTAGATTTTATTACACTAAAACCTTTTTGTCAGTGGTGAGCAACGAGGAAAAATGTCATATTTGTTTCATCGCTAAATGTTCATATCTTCATCCATCTCTATTTTTCAGATTAAAAACTTGAATTATTTGAAAATGTGATACCAAAAATTGTGGCATCAATATCATCATATTATTTCTTTTGACATTTTGGCTACTGCATAACTACAGCAGCAAAGTCCAGAGAGATTTTTTTTTTCTTAAGTTGGAGGGCTGTTTCAAAAATATGCAGGCAAAATTTTGCTTTTGCTTTGACTTTAATGATAGACCAACCAGATTGTACTGCAGGCATTGTAAGCTGTAAGCCCAGTATAAATTGCCTTTAACTGAGCCTTACACAGGCAGCCTCTAATTGGGCAAGAGCTTTAAACCACTTGAGCTCCATATCCATTCTGAGTTGCAGCTCAGGAGGGCTGTTTCAAAAATATGCAGGCAAATTTTTGCTTTTGCTTTGACTTTAATGATAGACCAACCAGATTGTACTGCAGGCATTGTAAGCTGTAAGCCCAGTATACATTGCCTTTAACTGAGCCTCACACAGGCAGCCTCTAATTGGGCAAGAGCTTTGAATCACTTGAGCTCCATATCCATTCTGAGTTGCAGCTCAATCTATTTAATATGGGGTTCCTTCCACTAGAGAGTTGACATTGCATTTGGCTGAAGGCTAAGTGCTAGAAGTAGTGACTGCAGACGCAAACTTAGATCGTTAGACCAACATACAGTTCAGACCAAATGACTAAGTAATAACCAAATGACTAATATTCTAGGATATTTCTAATCTCTTTGGTACAGAATAGATATCAAGAAAACATCAGTTTATTAAGACAAGCTATACAAGGTTTTTTTGTTTTTTTTGTGTGTGTGTTAAAGATAAAGATATTTTCAAATTAATTTTAAAAATCATTAATGGATTTATTTTTGTATAACTTTGTGATATTTTCCTAATTTAGTGAGCCATTGGTATAATATTAGTCCAGGGTCATATACTGTGACTGTAAAACTATCTCAGTATCTTTCGTTCCCTGAGGATGACCCTGTTGATGCTTTGTCTAAGCAGTATGATATATTTTGGGCTTTCGACAGGATTCTAATTAATGCCTAGTATAAATGGTTCAGTTCAGTGGAAATTATTCCCAATGTCAAAAAACTAAAATATGGAAAAAGCAGCACATTCTTTAAAGCTTTCCTCGATGTCACTCATTTTCTTCTCTATGCCTGTGTCATGTAGCCAAAGTTTTCCATTCCAAAAGAATGCATTAGCTCAGTAAGAATATAAATGTGGTAACAGAATTATTCTGCAGTAACTTACTGAATCATAATATACTGAAATAAAAAAAAATAAATTTAGAAAATAGGAGTGGAGATATGTATAGTACTTAAAAAGTAATTATAAAGTAACTATTCATGTTCTTTGAATAAAGATAGCAAATCATTGAATTTCTGCTGGTAGGAATGTCTCACGTTCCCACCAGGGGGCAGGATATGCTAACTATTGAATTTGTGGACACTAAAAGGCACTCAGGCAATTTTAGACAGAAGTGAGAAAGTTCCACAGATCCTTTGGGGAAGAGCTGTTGAGTTTTCACACGTTATAGTTATGGTTTGAATTTAAAAATGAAATCTTATATTAATTAAAAAGAAATGGAAACTAATGGCTTTCATAGTCCCATGTTTGCTGATTACTTTTATAAAAATTATTTGACTTAAATTTCATGTATTTTTACAAAAAATAAAAATTTTTATAGGAACAAAGCTTGCTGTGGAAACTTTAGAAAATACAGATAAATGGGTATAACATAATATTTTTGTGAGAGAAGATTGGATTTAGATATATCTGGGGTAAACTGCATTTATTTCTAAGTACAAGTGATTCTACATTGATCCCGTTCACCATCCCTTTAATATTTTCAGTGATAAGCCTTTGTATTAGAACAAAGTAGACATTTCTCAGATGCATGAGCAATACTCCCCTCATTTTTTTTCAGTGTCCGAGCAAAACCTATGACCCACTGATCAAATCCACCCGAGATTTTCCGGATGACGTCATCAGTTTCATCAAGCGGCACCCTGTGATGTATAAGTCAGTATATCCAGTTGCGGGAGGACCAACATTCAAGCGAATCAATGTGGATTACAGACTGACGCAGGTTGTGGTGGATCATGTGGTGGCAGAAGATGGCCAGTATGATGTAATGTTTCTTGGAACAGGTACACTAGAACAAGATTACGCTTTCCTTCCAAGGCATTTTTCATTATTACACAAACAAAACAAAACTTCAAAATTAGTTATTGATCAAACCAAAATGAGTACTTATTAGTTAATATCTAGTCAGTAATTTTTTGTTGTGTTCAAATGCCTCAGTCTTCATTTATGGGAAGATTATCACTTACCCCTCTGCACACCCATCCCTACCTCTTTTCTCATTAGTTCTTCTCTTGGGTTTTAAGGACCTAGGGAGTTTGGAGATTACCTTGCTGGGGAATTCTGCAGATCAAGATAGATGCATCTCTTTCCAGGTGGTCACTCATTAGTTGGTATTTCTTAAAATTGCATAACACACCCTAGCTGGTTTGGCTTAGTGGATAGAGCATCGGCCTGCAAAATGAAGGGTACAAGGTTCTATTCCGGTCAGGGGCTGTGGGCTCGACCCCAGTAGGGGTGTGTAGGGAGGCAGCTGATCAATGATTCTTTCTCATCATTGATGTTTCTCTCTCTTTCTCCCTCTCCCTTCCATCTGAAATAAATAAAAATTGCATAACACGTGCTTTTAATTGAGAATCATAAATGTCTTCCAGCCTCCTTTAGTATTTATTTGAGATTTTAAAATATATTTGTATATTAGGACTGCAATGTGCCTGCTGTAGAGTAGGTTCTCAGTGTCTGTTTGTTGAATGACTACGGACTAAAATTAAACAAGCAGCACAAAGCAGTGTTTCTTTATCTTTAAACATCACATTTGCTTTTCCCTACTGAGATATTTGATAAGCCCTACCCCAAAGGATCCTTTCAGCCAGTTTTGAGAATCAGTGACTTAAGATGAGTTAAGATGACTTTTCAAAATAGTTAAGCATTGCTTTGTAAAGTTCTTTAAGTAGAAACTTCTTGAAGATATTTTTTCTTATCCTTGAATTTTGTGGATTATGTATCACTTTCATTATTGAACCTGTTTTATGTATTTATTATTTTTCTGCCAACTCAGCAATTATAAAATGAGAAAAATATTTTTTTCCAGAAAGAGAACTATTGCTGATTTAGCACGTCTCAGAAATAAAAATACTATCACCCTGGCCAGTGTGTCTCAGTTGGTTGGGCATTGTCTCCTGCACCAGGAGGTTGCTGGTTTGATTCCCAGTCAAGGACACATGCCCAGGGCTGCAGGCTCCATCCCCAGTAGGAGCATGTAGAGGCAGCCCTTCAATGTTGCCCTCTCACAAAAAAATAAACTATTTTTCCAAAAAAAGTGTTATCTCATCGTGTCATATGAATTCTAATGGCAGTAAATAAACATACACTGAGCGACCAGATTATTATGACCGGCCAGATTATTATGACCACCCCATCAGTACTTCATTGACACTTCCAAAAATATGAATATTGAAAACTTCCTAAGCAAATACTCTCAAGGTTTTATTATCATTTGCATAACTAATTCACTTCATTGTACTGATGGAGTGGTCATAATAATCTGGCCACTCAGTGTATAGCATTAATAGAAAAGCACTGCATCTTACTATGTAATATAATGGATCAAGCATTGCATAACGATAGAAATGAATGGGTTTTCAAGCAATGAACTTTTCATTGGAGGAGGACATAGAAGTACAGAACAACTTTAGAATAATTTTATCCTAAAAAATATATTGGTTCTACAGAAGTTGGGTTTACTAGGAATCCTGTGTGTAACAGACTCCAATTGCTTTCCAGAAACCAGTCAAACCTGATTGTGTTGCAGTGGTAATAGCAAGGCCAAGGAAAAAAAGTGATGTTCCCAGTGCCACACAGATTGTTACTGAAACATCAAAACTTGAAATCATTAGGTTGTCACTGATTCTGAGGAGTTTGCCACTTCATTTCTACTGCCTACCCCAAGCTCATGCCTAGGTTTTGAACATTTCAGCGTCATAAATGCCACTCTGCCACTAGGTGGTACTACCTAACTTTTACTGATTACATTATAGGGATGTTAAGATAGATTTTCAATCATGACATTTGGACATTTTATATTTTTAAAGATTCCAGAGTTATTTAAAAACAGAGAAAATAATCTAGACTAATTTGTGCAAATAGGATTATTACCATAAATGTTAATACACTCTGCTTAGAACTTTAAAAGCATCTATTTTGTATAAGTTAATTTGCGAATGGGATTCTTTTCTTCTAAAATGTTCCTTAGGTTGTCTTTCTATAATGGTGTGTCACCTTACAGAACAGCAACATAAGATTCCTACTTAAGGCATCTTTTCAAAATGTTGATTTTGGTTTATAATATTAACCTTTTAATAGTCTTAAATTTAAATAAAATAAATTTAAACAAAAACTTTAATTCCTAGCCCACTAATAATGTTTATGTATATAAAATACATTTGATAAGTGAGCTACAGTTTCCTCCATGTATATAACATCAATAATTTCTCTTTCAAACATATGTTTTTTTTAATATTTTCCTTATAAAGATGTGTTTTATGAGATAAAAGCTATAATGTTTGGGGAAGGGAGAATAATATATATTAAGCTTTATTTCTTGCATCCTTTATTTAATCTGATTTCTTGAAAGGTATTTAAATAAAAATTAGGGTGTTATCTGAAGGTTGCTAGGAATATGCTTACAACTGAACATTGAAGGAGAAATAGCAGGATTATGGGTAATGTATTTTTTTCAGACATTGGAACGGTCCTAAAAGTTGTCAGCATTTCAAAGGAGAAGTGGAATATGGAAGAGGTAGTACTGGAGGAGTTGCAGGTATTCAAGGTAAGACTCCATCCAGAGTTTTGGGAAAAGAGATGAAACTGAATGGGCTTTGATATAGGGTGTTTTAACCTCATCACTTGTCTGGGAGAATTGCTTGCAAACAACTTCTTTATTTTCCTTTTCCTTAAGCTATGGCAAAAAAATGTTTAAAACAGTTACTAAGAGGATTAACCTTCCCCTGTAGAATACCATTGAATTCGGGGCTCCTGGGTTGCCCCTCAGTACTGCATTCTCTGAGCCTATGGCCAGACAAATTGCTACAGTAGATGAGAGCCTATGTCTCCTTTACTATCCAGATGCTTTTCTACTTTATCAATTTTACTTTTCAAAATTTTCTCCTTTGGATTTGATAGAACTGGAAGAGTATTCTCACGTGCCCTTGCTTTTCTGTAAGGACATTTAAAACAAACCAAAAAAAAAAAAGGTTGCATGCAAGTTAGTTTTCACATTTGTTAAATTCCCCTTGCCCACCGAAAGAGTTAGTCTACCTAAAATAATAGCTCTCCAGATTTTGGGAATGGCTTTGACTTTTCACAGTAAATTTGAGTTGTGGCATTCTTTGTAGATCCTTAATGAAATTCAATATATAATTATTTTCTGGAAATAACATTAGAAATAAAATTGCATTTCTTAGAAGAGCTTTTGAAAATATGCTAAGCCTTTTATTACATTTTTGTTGAAACATTTTATTGAAATGGACTGTTTCCGTGTAAACATGTTTTGCCCTACAAGAAAGTAGAGCCTTCCACTGTGAGGGGCTCAAGTTAAATAACATGCTGGGTTCTACTGAATCCTGTTTACATTGTGAAGATAATAATGGTCAAGGAGTTCACAAGAAAAAAGACCTGCTATCTGGCATCTACCAAAAACAAAATCTATGTCAAATATAAATGTGAATCCAGAGGCCAAAAATAAAGCCCCAAACACAGATAGGTACATTAGAGTAAGTTTCTTTCAGTGGTCAAGAAAACTGTTTGGATTGCACTGTTAAGATTAAATAACCACAAAAAAATTAAATAACGAATCTGTTTTATAAAATGCATAGCAAGAAGTTATTGGCTAGGACTTTCTTGCTTTAAAGTTTTTTATTCATATGCTTTTGTAAACTTTTTACATTTGCTATTGCTTTTCAATTAGTAAATATTGACTGGTGAGAAACAAATGAATTTAGACAAATAGATGAAAACATTTAAAACATTCCATCTTTTTACTTTGGAAGCTTTTTGTGTTCAGGCGTCTGATTTTGTACTGCATGCATAGAGCCATCTTTTCTACAAAACTGGCTCTAGATTATATCAAGGCATCATGTGCACCAGCATTTTGCAGAGTTCCATAAAGAATGTGCTCATCCACAAGGAGCACTATAACTCTTCAGAACTCCGCACTTGAGCACAAGTTTTTCAACTACTGATCTAAGTAAGAGCAGAAAAAGGTAATAAATAATTATGGAGATGTTCTTGTCAACACTAGTTTGAATTACATGGAAGCAGTTAAGATAAGCAGAAGAAGGAGAAACCTTTTGGGTACCTGGGAATGATTTTCAATGTAGTGTTTCTCATATAGTTAGGTGATTATTCTTTAATAAAATGCTTTAAAATAACTGTTTTGAAAAGGTTTTTTAAGGTAGAATTACAACCCAAAGGGAGGAAGCAGCAAACATTAAGATCCTTTCCTCCCCTATATAACAGAGCCTTGAAGTTTACTTCATGGATCTTTGGTACAAGATAAAAAAACTTACTGGCTACTATATAAGATTCTTAATGATCATTAATATTTAATTTCTTTTTCAGCACTCATCAATCATCTTGAACATGGAGTTGTCTTTGAAACAGGTATTTTCTTTTTTTAAAATATATTTTATTGATTTTTTACAGAGAAGAAGGGAGAGGGATAGAGAGTTAGAAACATCGATGAGAGAGAAACATCAATCAGCTGCCTCCTGCACACTCCCCACTGGGGATGTGCCTGCAACCAAGGTACATGCCCTTGACTGGAATCGAACCTGGGACCCTTGAGTCTGCAGGCCGATGCTCTATCCACTGAGCCAAACCGGTTAGGGCAGAAACAGGTATTTTCTTAATTTTTTTGTGTGTAAAAATTAACCACACAGCAACAGGATGATGGAATTAAAGTTTATTTTTAGAGAAAATTCATTGAAATTGCAAGTTAAATTATAAATAATAGAAAAAGCTTTAGATTATGTGTTTATTTTATAACTGATTAAAGACTATTGTTTCAGTCTTGCCTTAGGATAAATGAAACCAAATTTCATTCATTGAATAACATATTCTCCCCTTCCTGTGGCTCTCGAAAATTGAACTCACTTTTCTAGCCTCATGAGGATGTCTTTCTGTCAAGACCATAAAGTAACTCATGTAGAACACCAGCCCTAATCATTAAAAATGGTTTTTAATCAGGAAGTCTAGGAGGCAGACTCTGAACTGTGGTGGCAAATAACCCAACAGTTAACCTCCCACTTATCATTTAATATCCAACTCCCACAATCAATTTCCTCAACAGCAGATTTAGAAAAATAATATCCACCTCCTAATAAATAGGGTATCAAATGCACTCTTTTGGACTGACAGCTGATGCATTTTAAGTGTAAATTAAATGGTAGCTAATAATAATAATAATAATTATAATAATTTTAATATGACTTCACAGTTCTCAGATGTGATATGGCAAGTCCCAGCTGATTCAAGAGATTAAGACTTGCATTCCTACTTCTATATGTACCCCTAAAGTTTAAGAAAGTCACGTGATAATATGTTCTACATTAAAGTTTTGCTAAAATTGCCTTACACGACTATGCCTAGTATGGTAGAGGGATTATTAAGAAAAGATCTAAATAAGTTCCTTCTTCAATATTTTCCATTAATTTGTTTATCCACTCAATATTTAGTACTTGAAGGCCTACTGCTGTCCTCGGAGGGTACAGAAATGCATGAATGGCATAGCCCTTAGTCTTTGGAAGCTCATGGTGGATCTGGGAACCAAAGGATCTGCTGACAATGCAGAGAACAATGGAAGCATGCCCTA